TGTGTGTGTGTGTGTGTGTGTGTGTGTGTGTGTGTGTGTGTGTGTGTGTGTGTTAGTTGGGCTATTTTAAATGTGAAAATTAACACACTGGTCCATTGTTCTCACTCACACACCCAGGATTACTCAGGTCAAAAGGTTTTCTGCTTCCTGCACACCGGAATATCCTCCCTTTGAATAGATGACTACATGCATGCCATCTACAGATGACCAGCAGCTAGGGCTCATGTGTTAGTTTGAGCTCATGGGGCAGAGTGAAGTCATGAGAATATGTGTAAAGACCAGCTGGCTGCTTGTGATAAGATAGTGTATCTGCACCCTTTTTTGTGTTTCTGCTGTTATCGGACTGCTTGGTGATACCTTTACAACTTGCCCCCATGCATCTAAGTGCACTTCTGAAGCAAACTTCTCACTCATCTTATCCCAGTGCTACTTGTAGAAATGTGCTGCTTGAGATAAAACACACACACACACACACTAATTTTCTATTACTTGAAAATACTGCTGCTCTCTGAGTCTCCACCCAACCTTAAACAAACAGAAAAAGGATCCTGATGTGAAAGAAAATGGTAGCCTTTTAAACACATGCCAGGTACTTTTCTTTGATAAGCTGCACTGTTTCAGACATGTGATAAATTTAGGTATATCTGTTGATTGCCATGCACTCCAAGTGAATGTGCAAATTTAGAAACATGAAAATGACATTTGATGATTAAAGAAAATAAGACACCGACAGTCACACAGTACATCAAGTAGGCTATGTTGCTATTCTGGTAGTCAGTGGTCACTGGTGTAAATGATGTCACAGAGTGTCACATTCAAGGAAGAAAGAGTCAAATACCTTGGACTTGCAGCCGTTAACTCAATAGTTGAGCTGTGGACACCCCCTGGTGGATATATTGAGTCATCTGCTGTCCAGCTGAGAGGATGATGTCCTTTTGCAGGTACTGGAAATTATCCTCAGCATCTTTTGTACAAATACATCAATCACCATCCAGGAGAAGACAGTACTTTCTGTGGAAGCTCTTTTCTTCAAATCACAGTTTTCCTTCAGCATGGAGATTAATTGAACTTGGGTCTGACCACCAACCTCTGTAGCAGCTGTTTTTGTTGAGGTTTTTATGCTCATTTGACGAAAATTGAGCTGAACTCGTGATTATGGAGGGTCACGAGTGAATTTAACAACTGAATTGTTAAATAGTGACTTAAATGGGTCATTAATTAATTAAAAATGGAAATAGAGTACTAAATAATTCATCAAGTGGTTTAAATGATGATAATATAATTGTAATCATTTATTTATATATTAAATTAATTAGCAATTTCCCATTTTAATTAAATAAAAAAATTTATAATAATAATTATAGTAATTTGCTTAGGCTTCTGCCCCCGCGACCCGGCCTCGGATAAAGCGGATGAAGATGGATGGATGGATGGATAATAATAATTTTGGCACTCGTTGCCCTCCATACACTGTCATCCTTGTTTTAAAATGTTGGAAATACGTAAGCACTATGGAACGCCAGGACTGCCATAATGAATTAATTAAATACACCATTAAATAATTAATTAAATGTTGCAATAATTAATTAAAATTGCATGTGTCATAACTATTTTCATAACTATCTTCCGGGCAAGGACAGAGAGACTCAAGAGGAGCTTCTATCCCCAAGCCATCCGTGCCCTAAACACACACACCCGCCCTCTCACATCATCTATAATTGACTGAGACAGGACTCTCTTCCAGACACTCTAAACCAAGGCACAATGTACATTTCAATTCCTTTAATTTTAAATATGTTTATATTGTCTATCCTGTAAAATAGTCAGATGTCTATTCATATTAATGTACAGAATTCACCTGCTTGCTGCTACTACTGCACATTCACCCAGTGTATATACTATATATATATATATAATGTTCTTCCTCTACACCCCCCCCCCCCCCCAATTTTTTTGCACATGTCGAGGAGCGTGTCAGGCTACATTTCACTGTGTGTTATACTTGTATAACTATGCATGTGACAATGAACCTTGAACTTGAACAATTTATTTAATTAATTAATTCCAATTTTAATTAATTAAATGTGTCAATAATTAATTAATTACATGTGTCATAACTATTTATTTAATTAATTAATTCCAATTTTAATTAATTATTGCCACATTTAATTAATTATTTAATGGTGTATTTAATTAATTCATTATGGCAGTCCTGGCGTTCCATAAAGCACGACCCATAACTGACTTGTGGAGTTACCTTCATTTGTCATGGGAAACAAAAACATTTTTTAATCCCAGAGAGCGTCCCTACAGTCAGAAATAAATAAATAAATCGGTTTGTTGCTTTACGCAAAGTTTCCGATAGCCGTAAATGTAATTTTAAAAACTGTGTTAGTTTTTTTTTTTCTGGTGATGTTTTTTATGGAGTCAAGGCGCTCGAACAATTAAGTAACGACGAGCTCATGAACGCAACATTCCCGGCCAGCGCTAATCGCAAGCAGCTAACAGCCTAGCCGCTAACCGTTGATTAGGTATAAGGATATCTCCAAGTCAACAAATACACTGTTTTATTCGCTTGAAACAGCTCGTACATGATTTAAAATGGTTGTGGATGATGTAAAACTACTGACTTACTTCAAGGGAGCGAGAATCAAATTGATCCTCAAGACTTCATCGTTCTTCGGGGTCGTGAAACGTATTTACCCCAACAAAGCTTTGATTTTGGCGGACGGTTAGATGTTTTTAATTAATGTTGTACTTTATTTATGAATTCTTTCTGTAATATAAGAGAGTAAAACTGCTAAATACTTTATATTAGTGTCTTGGAAAGATAGTTGTGGTTTCTGGTTTGTTGCAGTTGTCAGTAGTGATGGCTGGAGGTTTCCCGGAACAAAAATTTTCTTTGGCCATGAGATTCTGAATGGTGAGTTCACTCATGAAAAGTAATACCTGAACAGGTTTGTACCAAGCTGCACAGTATTCTTTCATTGTCCATTCTGATATCTGGCTTGACTTTTTATATAATTAATTCAACAGTGGAATTGACCAGTGATGGGAACGGTGACCGTGAGTAAGTAAGACATGCATGAGGTGCCACTTTTGGTGAGAATGCCTTTTGTCCTGGCTTGTAATAAATTTCAATGTACAAAACTGTGCACAGAAATATTCACCATCACAGACCTGAGGACCACTTGGATGTAGCAAAGTTTCAGCCATACAGGAAGACAGGCACATTGGGTGAGTTCATTTATTCCACTAAAGCTAATGATGAACCAGTTACACCAGGGGTGTCAAACCTAAGGCCCGGGGTCCTGAATGGGCTTGGAAAATATGAAGGAGGCCTGTATGCTAATGGTCATTTATAGTACACCAAAGTAATTAAGTAATAGATGAACACCTAAATTACATGTTTGCTTGTTTTCTACCCACGGTAAAGAAAAAAAAAAATCAAAGTAAATTATTGAAAACTTTAAATTTTATAATTAAAGGAATATCTGGTACCAGATTCTTTTCTATAATTTTATGCAGTTGTGGAAACACAGTTGTTTGTTTCTTACAAATTAAGCCAAAAAAGATGTCCTGACAGGATTATTTTCCTTTATTACAACAGCATTTCTTTATTGTGCAGAAAGAATTTGACGTAGTGTTGAAATTACCCTTTTTTGCTCATATTGAGTCGTCTCGGGGGTTACATGTGCCGTTCGCATTGACACGAGGTTGTCCGGCCCACTAGGTAACATGAGTTAGACAACCCTGAGCTACACATTTGCTTTGAACGTCTCACTTTTGAGAGGATTTTTCTTTTTCTTTTTGCAGATGATGACGAGGAGGATGAAGAGTACATCAACTATGTAGTTGTTGACGAGTTTCATGAGAAGTTCGGACCTACTGTGAGTTGATTTGATGTTTGCTTTCTACTGTGTAAATGACTCAGATTTCTTTGACCCATGTGCCGTATCCAAATGTGTTAGATAATGCACATCAAGAAACAGCACGTGATCGGTGTGGGAGCAGAAGGAGTTGAGGTATTTAAGAATGGACGACTGTGTTGGCTGCAGGTGAGAAGGTCGTCGGTCTTTTGGTTTTTTGTTCCTTCTCCATCATGAGGACAGAAAAAGGAAAATAACTTAAACCTAATTCTTCTAGATTGCCACTAAAAACAAAGTATACCTATTTGATGTCCTGTTACTCGGAGCCCGGGCTTTTAAGAATGGCCTCGCTATGATCCTGGAGAGCAAGGACATTTTAAAGGTGACAAATAACTGCATTAGAAGCTCTCTTAAAATTATGGCAGTGATTATGATTACCGTAGCATATTGGTTTGATATTTGTTATAGGTCATCCATGACTGCAGAGCCATTGCTGGATGTCTGATCGCTCAGTTTGGAGTAAAGCTGGCAAATGTCTTTGACACTCAGGTACGTGCGCAGTATGCACATTATTGCTAATCTTTAGATTATTCTCTAAATTATCCATATTGTTCTTTTCATTTTATGTGTCTCTGTTTTGTCTGTTTGATTGAAATCATTTTTTTTGTCTTCTTTAAATATTTTAGGTGGCAGATGTCATGTGCTTCTACTCAGAGACGGGAGGTTTCCTTCCTGACAGAGTCAGTACTCTCCACGAGGTGTTAAGTCTGCATCTGAGGGTGCCCCCCTCCCAGCTTTCGTCTCTTCAGATGAAGTCACAGTTCACTAAGGTACACCACACAGACCTATCCAGGGTATTTTTTCTTGTGCTGTATAGGTATTTGGTGCTATAACAGGCTTATGTTTTTACAGGAAGAAAGCGAGATGTGGCACATGCGGCCTTGTCCGTTACCCCTGCTGAAGGTGATGGCTCTATCAGTGATCCACCTACAGCCGCTCAGACTGGTGCTGCTGGACACGCTCATGAGAGACTACATGGCTCTGGTTGATTCCTACCTCAGCAGCAGCCATTACCAGCCCGATGAACTGGCGCATGTTGGCATGGTGGGTAATTAAGAAACAATTAGCTGTCTTCAAAGAAATAATCCTTTTCAGTTTTTTGCTCCAGTCAAAAGTCGGGCAACATGATAGAAACGCGCATGATTTAGTCAACACTGCTGGCTTCATCAGTCTGTTAAAGTGACAGCTTCCTGTCATTCACGCGTGGGACAGGTTTACGTTATCCTTCACTGCTTCATTCACACACTCCCACGTCAGTAACACACAGAAAGACATTTCTGCATGTTATGTACAGTATTTTCATATCTGGTAAAAATGTATGGCATTGATTCTAGTGAGATGTAACTGCACATTTGTATGTTTGGTTCTTTCCTCCGTCATCAGTAAAACACAGAGTATGGGCCTGTCTCTTAGAAAGTGTATAAGACGGACGTGGCCACTTTGATGTCTCAGTGATTGCTGTGACGACTACACTGATAACGGTGGCTAAATAATGCTCAGAATTCACAAAGTGGATTTTATATTTTATTCAGCATGATTCGAAAGTAGTGAGTGAGCCAATATAGTCATCAGTAAAGTGTTTGGTGAGCTCACAGAGCAAGATCCGAGGGCTGCTTTCCTATAGAGTTCTATACAACTGGAAGAATTTTCAAACATAGAACCCACATCCATCTTTTAAAGTGTCAATGCTGCCCTCTGCCCTTGTACAAGATGTCTGAGAGAGATTTCTCTTCCAGATTGGGAATAATAAGGAAAGAGATGATAGCTGAGGTAAGAAACAGGGTCTATGCGATATGATGCAATTCTCAGATGATTTTTAAGCTGTGCAATTCACAAAAGCACATGAGATAAATGCAGTCTTCTCGGTTGTGTCTACATATTAATGATCTGCACTCACGCAGACTTATGCATCATTAAATAAATGTTATTGTAGACCAGCGTGGTAAGGTTGTCCTTACCAGTTATTGGTAAGTCCACAAGTCATGGTCAACACTTTTCATTCAATTGTTCTTACAGTACCCTGCGTTGCATGCGAAATGGCTAATATAGCTAATATAACTTTATGTGAAAAAGGTAAAAAATGAATGCCAAAAATAAACATTTTGCTTTTCCTTTTATCAGCTCTAATGTGTTGCAGGATTTCAGATTGAAATATAACATCCACAGATCACAGCGGGCTAATTGTGTGTCTGTAAAGGTCTTAAATCTGGCGTTTTCTTTACTCAAGCATTGCACAGATTTAAACTGCTTTGAGTATTTAATTGACATGTGAGGTTTGCAGAAGTTTAAAGGTTAGCAGTAACCGTCCCAATCAACTGTTTGTATCCACAGGAAAGTGTGTTGGAGTTGCCCAGAGAGCTGAGGCAGCTGGAGGTAATGCGTCGCGAGAGGCACGAGTGGGCTTCCAGTCACTATCCACTCACAGAGCAGGGTCTGCTGGCTCGCTTTAGCCCCAAACCTCAGTCTTCGTCCCAGGCCTCACCTGCTGTAGAAGAAGACCAAAGGAAAAATCATCCAGATGTGTCTGAACCTGCAAGTGTAGAATCTCCTTCACCATCACCACAGGAGCTTCTTGTTAACCAGTCTGCAACTAGCCCTTTGAGGGTCACCAGTGGGCCTGCTGTGGATGCTCGGGATCCTGCTCCTGCCACTGTGTCAGACCTCACCAATAAAGAGTCCATCAACTGTTCTCTGTCAGCAGGTATGAGCAGAGGGGATGCAGGAGTACGAATGGATCTCATGGGAAGAGGAAGGCTCTTTGGGAAAGAGCAGCCATCCAACGGCACTTTTCCTTTCTTAGGAAGAGGAAGAGGCTTCCTTCTCCACTTACCACCCACTCAGATCCCCATTGAGAGTGCTGGGGACTTCAAACGTCAGTGTAGTGTGAAAGCGACTCCTTTCCAGAATAAAATGTCAGAACCTGGCCTCGGAAAGTAACCCACCTAAAGATGTTTGTGGTTTGAGTGGAGAAGAATTTACATTAAGTCCCCAGCCTATCTCATCTTCACTGAGCCAATCATTCAGATATTAAAGTAGTCATCACAAATGTTTACTCTTTTCCACTGTGTAATTCCTTAGCATGGCCAGTAGGTGGCAGTAAATGTTCTTTGTTTGTTTGTTTGTTTTGTTTTGCAAAGATTTGTTTGACATTTGTCATTTATGTTTAATACAACTAAATGTTTCATCTTGTGTTTTAAGTCGTAGTTGACCCCCTTTTTATCGCACACATTATGCTCTGATAGCATGTCACAATATGTCATGTGTGACGAGAAATGATGGGTTTGGCTGGTGGAACACCAAGTACACCCAGACAACTCCACAACCTCATTAATGTGCTAAAGTTAGCGTGATTGATTGCCTGTACAGCCTGTGTTGCAGTTAATTGATTGTGAAATGCAGAAACAGGCACTGATGGATCTGCTGTTAATTGAGCAAAAACATTGCTGGCTGACACTTCTTTTGATTACTGATAATAATAAAAGGGGGGAAAAACATTAGACTTGGTGCAGAAGGAACACAGAGAGGGATACAGATTCTCTGTATCTTCAGTCATTGCTGCTGTTTTAGACGTACTTTGATCACAGGTGGTCAGCACCTGCCATATTTTGTAATAACAGAAAAAAGATGATGTTATCCTGTTAATTTGCTGCTTGACATGCCTTGCAGATTTTGTGCAGCCATTTTTGCCAGAGATCAAAACAAGCCATGGACACAACAGCAGGGCATTTCTGCAGAGCAAGCCCCCCACCAGTATTAATCACATCTTATTGCTATGGTTATCTACATGCAGAGGCTTGGGCCCTTTCCAAAGCTTTCTAATTGAAAGCATGAAACAGATAATGTAGGATTTTAATTAACTGGGAGGCAGCCTGACACAAAGCCCTGCTTCTCTCGTAGCAACCACCCTGCAACAGGGTGGATCGTACCCATATGCCTCTTTCAGCCCTCTGAAACGCTCCCGTTACTCAGTCTGTGTACGCGAGGTTTCAGCAAGGAACAAAAGGGTTATCGCATCATCTTAATACCGATTTGTGTGATATTATCTTTGAGCTGCTGCTCTTAAATCCCATCCCACAGCGAGAGAGGATTCATTCCATATAATGTGACTGGAGCTTGCTCCCCTCTATATTTATCTGCGTCAATCAGCAGTAAAGTTGTGGAGGGGTTGTAGTTTGTTGGGGGGGATATACAGGTCTCCGAGGGGCCATGGAGGACAGGCTCCTGTCATTGACCACCAGATTGGAGCTCTTATTTTAGAGGACCTTGCATTTCCTCTCCGTCACAATAATGCCTTATGTGCAGCACTTCCTGTTTCTCAGGCCTCTGAGGAAGGAACTGCGCGCTTGTCACACGGTAGTCACTGTTTCCTCCCTCCCCCTCGGCCTCCCCTCCCCTCCACCCACAAACTTCAGACAGTGTTATGTCCTTCAGAGAGGAAAGATGACTGCACCTTCAGCATCACAGCAGGATGCGGCCGAGCTAATTTTAGACTAAAAGTCGGAAAGGTAGCGCACAGACATAAACACAAACTTTAGGATGTCCAGCTGTGTTGATTTTGCATCCGAAAATGGAGATCTCAACCGCGCAAGACCATTTATTGTTTTGACTGAGCAGTACGAGCCACGAGGCCTGAAGGTGTAATGGAAATGGGTCACTCACTGAACAATGATGAGCACTTTAAAAGTCACACTTTTACAAACTGCATACATTATTCAAAGACGGCAAGGAAGCCACCCAGACACGTGCCGAGCTGCATTATTGATCACCAGAGCTTCAGGCGCTGTTGTGAGAGCACCAGAAACAAAGGTGTTTGTCCTCCTTCCCACCCCACCAGCTTACAACTCTGAAAATGACACGACCTAGACAACACCTTCCCTTCTCCTGATCGGGGTTAGGCTCGAGGATTTGTTCATAATTAATAGGCCCTTGTTAATTATTAAAAGTGAAAGGACAGTTTAATGAAAACCCTTGCTGTTGTAACACGTCATTAAAATTGATCATCATGTTTGCTGACTAAGTGCTCACTCAGATCATGGGAGATATAGCTCAGCGCTGAAAAAGAAGGAAAGCTAATCAGAGTTTGGACCAGTGGCTCATCAGTAATCAGATTGTTTGTGAGCTGTTTAAATTTTTCCTCTCGGCTTAATCCTGCTACTGCTTTCCTCTGGGACTTTGTTTAGCCTGGGGTGGCAGACTTGGCCAGAAGCGACTTGTTTGATTGGCTTGTTGAAACAACACAATCAGCTGGTCTTACCTGAGTAGCTGCACTACAAAGAACCAGACTGATGAGCAGCATCAGCAGTTCTGACCGCGCCACGACAGGTTGTGTAGACACGTGTCAACAGAATAATATGATTTTCATTATTAATGTAACCACATGTAATCCTTTTGTATTTATAGGCAGGGAGGCATACAGTCAGATATCAGGTTCCACTGTGCCACTAACCGCATCCCTGCAGCCAGTCTTCCATCTGTTAGGAAAAACCTATTGAATCGTGCTCCGCTCCCCCACCCCCTACAGACCCCCTCCTCTCCCTTTCTTTTTCTCACGTTACAGGCAACCCTCCTTTACTCTCCCCAGGTCATATTCAACGGGACAATTAATATTTAACGTGAGAAAGGCCGACCTATCCAGATGGCCTCTCGAGTACAGGCGAAAATGAGAACAAAACACAGCATCAATATTTCAGCCGGCCTCACTAGTGGCATGCACGTATCCCCGCAGTCAGGAAGCTTTGCTCAGGAAGACCCCCTTCAATAAGCACACATTCATTCAAATGCACACATACACAGATGCAGGCACACAATACGCATCTTTATGAACTGCTGCGCCATGTTTACTCAGGCGGCGTGGAGCATCGGGACCTGGGAGGGCCTCTCCAAAGGAATCAGCCATATTGTGACCTTCAGCTGGGATAGACGTGCACAGACAGGAGATGAGTGACAGGTGACGGAGCAGATGATAAAGGCCAGGATTTAGGAATGTCAGCCTTCAGTCCACCACTTTGGTCCAGTCTAATATATTTCAGTAGCCAGTGTATGGGACAGCTATGACATAACAACGCTTCATATAGACAGCAAGAGGATGAATTCTATTAACTTTGGTGCAAATGTAGCTCTTTATTTTGGATGAAATATGATGGAAATAGATACTTTCTGTTTTTTTCTTACCCAAAGTACTCCATTCATCCTCTGTAGAAAAAGCCTTTCAACCACAATCAGCCCAAAGGGCCGAGGACACAGCAGGATTTAACTACAGAAGCTCTCCATCACATCAGAAGACCAGCTGAATGTTTCCGCATTTTGGCCGTCGCTTAACCGACCGCAGAGCAACTGGCCTGGCCGCAGTCCCCGAGGCTCCGTAGGTGCACCAGGAGATAATGACAAAACGAGCGGGATGTTAATGATTTGTGCAATAAACGTGGACATGTGTCAAAGACAAGCATGCAAATGACTCATGCAAGACCCCCCTTCTACCCCCCTACCCGAGACTCTGATGCTGAGCAGCTTTACTGTTTTTATATCATGTTGAGTAATAAATTATAGCAATTATGGAAACATTTAGAAATAAATAATAGCTGCGATGGGTCTTTTCTTTTCCTGTGTTGTTGGCTTTGAGAGGAGAGTTGACAATAAAAAACAAAGGTGTTGTCAAGGTGGAGTTATTAAAATATTGGCCACCCCCTTTATGCAAGAAAGTCTTTGATTCAAAAGATGAGCTATTAGCTGTTGGCAAGTTTGTCATAATTAAAACCTGCATTGTGTAATGTGGGTGTGTGCACACAGATGACGGGGTGATTGTAGCCACGGGAAGGGCCTGGAGAAGGAAGAAACTGCGGAGGGGAGGGGAGGGCTCCCTGTGGCTGGCTGAATTAGTGCTCGATGGGTTTGGCCTGGCAGCTGCTCTGGGGGCCTGGCATGCTGACAGCCAGCACTGTGGCGTTGTGTTGTCATGGCCAGCCAGCACACAGTAAGGGAGGTGCCAACGCCGTCACCATTGCGGGGCTTTGTCTTCCAAGCATACTTGTTTTACTTATTATGGCAATATCATTGGATTAGTATGAGATTAAGCCGGGTAATGAAAAAGGGCAAGTTGCGTTCATGTCATCAGGGAAAACGTAAATGCCGCACTAAGCTGGTTATGACATTTGGCCGTAATGAAAAACGTGATCGTTGTGTGTTTTAAACAGCTGTTGGTTCAAAAACCAGCCTGCTGTTGCTTTGATTTATCAAAAGAAGAGGCTGACGTAAAGTAAATGCCCATATGACTCACCTAAGATAAATTCGATTTAGTCTCCTTTGTCAAGATGTGCTCAAAGAAAACAAAACAAAACAAGGTGGTATATTTAATGTGATACATAAAGCTGTGGGAGCTTGCCTTTAGCTCCACTAACACTGGAAACACTGTGTTACTGTAATGTCAGTTTCACAGATTTACACAAGTCCAAGCCTGAGAGGATGATGGAGAAATTTTATGATTAAGGTTGCAATCATCTTTATCCTTCCTGACATTAGACAGCGAGTTAATAGACATTTGACAGAGATTCCTTGCAAAATAGTGACGTGCTGAAAGTGTCTTCGTGTATCTCCTTCAGGCTGTTAAAGGCCTTCATTGACTTTGACCACCCTTGTATATTAAACCTGTCCTGCTTCTGGGATTTGGGCAGATTCTGGGCCTGGTTTGCCAGAGCCGGCTGGGCCCATTTTGGCCCAGATGCCACGGCTTCTATCCAGGCATGGCACTGGGATATCTGTGGGGCCCAAGCACACCAGCTGCTATCTCTGTGTCACAGACAGCTGTATCTGAATATTCATACAAAGTGTAGATTAATGTGTATTTGTTTGGCCCCCTGTGCTGCGCCTTCAAACAGACCCAATTGAGAAAACACTCAAAGAAGTCATAGCAATAATGCCGGCCACAGCGCAGATGAAAAACCTCAGCATTCCTGTAACCTGTGCCTGAAAGCATGGCTAGAGAGGTTGATGGTTGGTGCATGCAGCAACAAAACACTGAGGTTTCTATCATTCAGTACCAATCTCATTGACCTAA